GTTGGATTTCAAATTGCGCGAATGTGGTTTGATAAAGGCGAAAATGGATCCATGCGTGTATCATGATGGTAATTCTGAATTGATAATTTCTGTTTACGTTGACGATTTTCTATTTTTTTATAAAGAAAAATGCAAACTTCAAACATATCAGCGATTATTGTGCAAAAATTTCAAAAAGAAAGACATGGAGCCAGCGAGAGGATGCATTGGATTACGCATCACACAAACAAAAATAGGCGTTCATTTGGACCAAAGAACTTACACGTTGGAGATATTAAAACGTTTTGGCATGAAGGACTGTGCACCAATCGGAACACCAAGTGATATTGGCATAAAGCTATGTGCTGATATGGGCGTATCAAATGACGATGCAGATAAATTGAGCAGAATTCCATATCAAGAGGCTGGAGGGAGTCTTTTGTATTTGGCGCAGGGCTGAAGAACAGACAGCAGGTTTAACGGCAATTATCAAATGGCTCATTGGGAAGCGGTCAAAGGAATATTCAGGTATCTTAAAAATACGCTCAACTATCGTTTGTCATTTACACGAACAGGAGAAGTGGTTGGATATTCGAACGCGGACTGGGCATCAGATGCAGAAGATCGACGTTCTTGCACGGGTTATGTTTTTCTATATGGTAATGCTGCGATTACCTGGTACAGCAGTCGACAGAAAACGATCGCACTTTCCAGCACTGAGGCCGAATACATGACATTGTCGGCAACCAGTGGCATTTTTTTCAGTTTAAATGAATTTCAATTGTTTTCTTTAAAAAGAAATAAATATGTTTAAAAAAAAATATGAATGTAATATAATCGCAATGTTCAATATTAAATTCAGTTTTTTTCTGACTATCATACACGACGATTCGTTTTATTTCACATTTCTCACAGATTTAATATTATTGCTTTTTGCGCATGAAGAAAGTTTTTGTCGTATCTTGCAAAGTTTACGAAAAAATGTTGTAAATTTGAATAGTATAGGGGCTTTTTTCTTCTTCGAAGCCATATAAAAATCGAATCCTTATTTGAATAAGTATGCTATGATGTCAGTATTCGCTAATATTTTTGGACTTTTATCATCAAACTTGTTCATTGTACTTTTTACATTCGATTTCCGCATAAGTTCTTTTTAAAATGGGTCACTTCAACACAATTCGTTTTCACCCAAAATAGACTGTAACATCGGTTAATTTTCACACCGGTTCGAATGTAAAAGGTTGGTGAACAATTTTTGACTTTGAAAATAATAATAGAGATGTTTAACCTTCAACATTGACGTCTTTGTCTCATCTTGTTTACTTCGTCATCCCAATTTTCGCCCACAGTAAATGTTGTCTTGAGTGTCGTTGCCTTTCCACCATTAAATAAAGACGTATTTATATTAATGATAACTTTACTTTGCGCTTACGTGTCATCATCACGAAAATTCATTCTGTACACATGATACAGACTCAGATTGACTCTTTGTTTTTCACATATTTTACCGATGTGTTGGTGTTTCATTACCAAGCCACCCTCGAATGAGTTGATAATATTATATAGAATTTAAATACAGACAATCATCTTTCTTACGCTTACACACACGCACACACAATCCTAACGGGCAACAACTTCAAAATAAAAAGAGAACACAATTTGACATAAGTCAACAATTTGGACGACTCCTTGGATAATATCGAGCAATTCGTATTTGTTTCCGTTGTTTTTTGAGGAAATTACTTTATTATATTGAGTTCTGCTCACAGTCAAGTCAATAGAACTGTTCAAATAGAATCAGTAATTATAGAACAATTTCATTTCTCATTTTTGCTTTTGGAAAACATTTCATGAAAAAAGAGGCAAGTAAGCATTAAAACGAACATTTTTCGCATAAAATATCTCATCTCATACGAATTACAATTAACGATGATGCCTGAAGCCATTACATGATCTATAAAAAACATTAGCAAATGTTTGTACAAATGAGAAAACAACGTTCACCATTTTCCATTAGCCAAATCCAAAACTTAGGATTTCATCTGGTAAAATAAAGTTGGTGGTAATGAACTCTTTCACTCTTAGCGACGGAATTTTAAGTGTGAGATAATTCATTTTAGTATTCACCGGAAAATGTATATGTAAATGTTGAAAATCATCCGAAATAAGAAATGATTATCTCATGAGGTCTTGTTGACGGAATATGGTTTATGTATAATCATATGTTATAAATGCTCATCTAATAATGTCCCATTAACATGGACGTTTATATCTCTATCTCGTAGTATATATTGTAATTCTATTTTGAGAATCATCCGGCTGAAGCTAAAATAAGTTTATGCGTAATAGCTTGGATGTGTCTCATGAAATCATGTCAGCAAACCACCAAAGGGTTGTTAATGCGTACGATATTTCTACACACACACAAAAAAAAACTCACACAGCGTCTCGAAATAGATTTAGTATTTATAATCATGGTTCCGAAAAAACCGCACAGTATGAGTAAAAAATCGAGGACAAGGACACACGTATCGCATGCCGTATCTCTGCAATATTCTACCAGTTCAGTCAGCTGTAGGGCGTTGAACGAAAAATCTAATCTTTTGCATGCTTTCACATAATTAATGACACATTCGCGGTTTTGAGGTTCATGTACGCGTTTGTATGCAAATTATTTGAATTAATTACAACGTCATCTACAATGACAACAGATTCTGAGATGTAAATTGTCTAGGGGTTTCAAGTGGTTTGGACTGGGAGTTATCGAAAATAAACCATTACAAAGAAACATACAATATGACTCGGATGTGTGTATATTTGTGATAATTCGATCGACGTGAGTTTGTATTGTATCACAATTGTCTTTAAATAAATGAAACGAATTTTCATGAGAATAAAACGGCGCCAACGAAATTACGATTGCAATGTTTTGACATTTTCTATTCTCATTTGCTTTATGATCACTAATTGTTAGTTCTAAGTACGCGTAAACGTATAATTAAGCACGAGACCGACTAAAATAAATAGAACAACATTTGATGAATGCCAATCTTTCGATTGTTGAAATGATAACACAACAATTATTTGAAGTAAACAACCACGATATGGTGTAAAAATGTGTACTTACTTAAAAGTAGAAGATGCGGATAGTTCGGAATCCACAAATATGCTCGTTTGTATCGATATATCAGTAGTGTCGATGCTAGTTTTCGATTGAATATCTCTACCCAAATATGATGACTGATTCGATTGGCTCCTTCCGTGCAAACTTTTATTCGAAGGACCTGGCATTTTTGCTACTTTTATTTCTTCGTTCAATTGGAGCTTATTGACCACAAAGTACTACGAAAATTGTTTTTGGATAGTTTTGTTTAAAATATCAAGCACATTTTAGTACACATAAAATGCGTTGAAAATCGTTATAAAATCTATTGATGAGACCTATTAGCGTAAAGGCGTAAACGATAACAAAAACACTGTATTGTAAACTCGATTGCCAACACAAATACGTATCAAAAATTAATTTGCAATGCGAAAAAATTGAATTCAATGAACTTTCGTTTTAGAGAGAAAACAAATTGTTATCAATGCGGTAGCACAACCACGAACAAACTGAAAATATCAATTTTCTGTGCATAATACTCAGCTTCAGACACTGTACTGATGGAATTCGTTAGTCTTTTTGTTGTAATGTTTCATATTGCACGAACAAATCGGCTGTGTTTTTTAAAAAAAAAAACGTAAGCGCACACATTACCGTTAATCACACTGCGCACCATAGTACACTGTGTATCTCTTTCTCGCTCGCATTCATATCAAATATAAATGTGCCGTTGGACAAAAACAATTATATTCAAAACGATGATAATGTATACTTGTGACATTTTTTCCGTGTATTTCGGATGTTTTATATTTTGCGATGGACATTTATTATTATTATGATGAATTCCAATGAAAAATTAAACTAAGTTGGCTGTATGAGTGTGTCGCACGTACCGCTGTGAGTATGAAGAGTAAATTGATACAGATCGTATACGAATGTGTAAGATTTGTAAGCATATCTTTCAATTGCGATTAGCACGTTTTAACCATTCTTTATGGGGATGTTGTTGGATTTGTTTAAATTTAGAAGTGAAAACAGAATATGCACATGTTTTTATTTAATACAGTATAGCATGTATTGGGACTAGAAATTAATTCATGCCGATTAGTAGAACAAAAATTTCAATGGGTTTATGTTAACTTACTGTCAGAATGCTATAAGAATGGTTATGTCACATAACTTATGTGTCATTTGGAAATGTAAACAACGACCCGAAATTCGTCTTTCGACTGAAAGATGAGAAAGAGAAGTGGTTGCTTTACGTTCATTTTCAAACAAAAAAACGGCCTGAATTAATTTATACTCCCAATATTTCGTGAACAGGAAAGAAGAATATGGATTATCAACTTGTTTGTCCGCTGAATTATCCATTCAATTCAAAAAGATTACTTTATCTGCCGCATGAAGCAGATCCCACTTGATTATGATATGACAATTTATCGTTTTAGTTCCAGTAGGACAGATTAATTGCTTTTGCATATCATGCACAAATGGAACCATTCATTTTTTTCATCGCATTCAAATACACCATTTTTATCATTTATATTTTGTTTGGCTTTGGTTTGTTTTTTATATTCATATGTTGTCGGTTGATAGAACCGCAATTTACTGATGAATTTGCACAAAAAAGTGTTGTACCTATAATTTGATACATTTTACTATCGTGTTCAACCGTTGCGTAATAGCATGCATGCTTTGTTGCTTTCCCAGCACGAAATAAAGACATAAAACCACATGTTTATCATAATGAATAATAAATAATTCAGAATCGCTGCAAAATTAGTCTCGTATTGCGCATATCCGTTGGCTTTTTTTTATCGAAAGTCAATGGGGTCGATTAAGCTATTCACATGCAATGGTATTAAAAAATTAAATCAAGAATCAAAATATTACTTTCAAATCATTTGAAACATCCATGTATAAGAAGAGGTGTGTATATTTTTTACGAATAAAATTCTCTTAAGTACAATTGGTAACACGTTCAACATCACTCAGACACATTGAAAAATTACATTTACTAGGATCTACTAGTTATTATTTTTTCTTAAATTAATCTTTAGACATTTCGTTAGAAATTGGCCTAAATTTAGAATTTAAAAATTAAGCGGTATGCCATTCAAATACAAGGTGAGCAACGAATAGGTAACCCGTTATGGTAATCAAACTTGCAATCATTATTGGAAAGCACCTCCTGTGGAGTGAGAAAAAGAAACACGTGCATCAGTTTTTTTTATCGTTTTTCATGCAATGCTGAATAAGATCTTATTACCTAAAGTATTTTGAGAATGAAATCTTATATCCATGTTGTTCGGCTATGCCAGTCGCAATAATGTTCGCGCTCGCTCCGTATAGTGTTCCGTTGCCTGTATGAAGAATGATTTTTTTCATAAGGTTACATAAAATACTTTTACTAAAGCCATTCGTTTGATTTATGCTAAATTGACTGGATTTTACCTCCCAAACAAGGACCAAATGCAACTGCCCAGACCAATGGCTGAACTGGTAGCTTTATGCTATCATTTTCTGCAATCAAAATCACAATCTTTATCATCATAGCTGTGACGGGAATGCTGTCAATCAATGATGATAATAGGCCAGATAGCTGCAAAAAGTAATGATTTCTTTCATTAATCTAAATGTCATAAGAATTATGAGCAGAGTAGTTATTGACTATAAAAGTTTTGATTGTATACTTTGGTCGAAGCTAAAATGAAGCTATGCAAAATCGTATAGAAGAGAATGAACGTGAATTGTTAATATAAACGTTTACATTCTGTCAAGTGTCATTTATATTGTAGCTTCAGTACAACTTCGAAATAGAATGAAATGCAATTTTAAAAAAAATTCCAACATCTACACAAGATAAACAATGTGCTTGACAACTGCTTACCCATAAAACAATGAAAATTGCACAAGCCAACTGCACATTTTCATTTTCCGACGTTGAAATCATGTTAATCGTTTGCTCGCTAAACCAATGAATCAACCGTAATCGTTCCAAACATTCAAGAGTTACAAACATTGCGGCAAAAAATAGTAATGTAGTCCATTCGATGCGATGCATCAATGCGTCCATGTCATCTCTATTTGCATGAAAATGTTGAGTTGTGATTGATTGATTGAATAAAGGATTGGAAACTTACTTTTCAGCAATGATCAATAGAAACATGACACCAATGAGAGCACACCATCCAATCGACAATTTTCCATATCCTGGCATCGATTGCAAAAAGAACATTGTTATGATGAATATCAGCACGCTTCCGGATTTGGCAAGCAATTGTGGATTTTTTATGGGATACTTCATCAAAAAAAAAAATTGATTAAAATGTTGTACAACGAACACTTTGAAGATGAATAGTTACACTTTTTTGCAGTTCTTCCAATGTTTGTTTATACATTTCGCTTGGTAAGGTTTTATTTGATGACACCATTTTTTTCAATTTTGTTTGTAAAATGTGTACTTTTTTCATGAGCGTCTCTCGAACAACTTGTGATTCTCTGGAAAATGTTGACAATGACGCTGCTGTTCGTTCCCAAGCGGCTATTTCACGCCTCAATTCGACTACTTCTTGCGGCACTTTTGTTCGTAATTCACGCATATCATTGTATACCCATCGCAGGTACACGCACGTTTGTATAAATGCCAATACAACACCGACAGACATATGAACGGTGTATGAAATGAAAGTGACACCAAAACGAGAGAATACTGCATTGCCGGTGATCATTAGATTGGGTATATGTCCCATTGGTGTTGCTGCTGCCCCAATATTTCCATTGAGAATGACTGCCATTAATATTGGTATCGGATTCAATCCCAAACATTCACACAATTTAATAGTGACCGGGGTCATCAGTAATATAGTGGTAACGCTATGCAAAAATGCAGATAGAACAGCGGTTATGAAACAAAGTGAGAAAATTAATGGCCAAATGCGACCGTTTGTTTGTTTAAATGCGTAAATGGCAATGAAATTGAATACACCGGTTTCGGTGAGTATTGCAACCAGAATCATCATTGAGAATAGCAATAGAAGTGTTTCACAATTCATCCATTGAATAATTTCTAAATGATGTGAAAAAAAGAACAAAATTGATAATGGGTCGGACTCAAAAGCGCGATTAGTATGTTACCTTTTATATCTGGCCTGTCATTCAGCACGGACAGCAATGCAATGCTGACCGTTGAAGCGATAATCGCGGCAAATGTACGGTGTACAATTTCATAAATGATTAGAACGTAGAACATTAGCAAAACGAGGCCAGCACAAACGGCACCCACATGAACATCGACCGGTGTTGGATCAAAATGAAGATTAACCGTGATTCCTTCTGGTGTATTTTTCTTCAATAACACTTCCAATCGCCGTTGACGCTTGTGAATATTGTGATCAATGCTGTACGTACGTCGAATAGTTTTCAGTGTTGCTTTATCAACGTCGTCCGGATTTGCAATTGGAATATACCATTCATTTCCAATCATCTGAATTCAAAAAGAGATATATATGAATGTTTTTCATTGAAAAATACGATGCAAAATAAAACGTACGTCAATTGGACGAGAGCCACTCATTAGTTTCACCGTCACTTGATGCATACTATCATTTATATCTGGTAAAAATGGACCTTCCATTGCCAGTGTAACTTGTTCACCATAGTAAATGTTCGGTAAAAAATAGGCTAGACAAATTTTAAAAGTAGCCCACATTTATTAATGTGTCAATTATCGGTGTGATAAGCCAAATTGGTTTTACACTTACATTTTGTACGTGTGTCATCGATCGATAGTAATTTTTGATGGATTTTCTTTTCAAATTCGGTGGTCATAAATGTGACACTAGCCAACCATACAATTAATAAAAATATCACTTTTGGATGTTTGTGCCACGGACTGCTGCTATCCTTTACCGAAATTGTTGAGCGCGTCGAATGACTTGCGTTCGTGATATTTGTCAGTGACGATCCTTTCATAGTATGCGCCATACTGAAAAAAAATCAATGCCATCGTACAGCGTTCAATTTAAAATTAAATCCGAAAAATACACAAATCTTTTGAATTCAAAATCGAAATTCGATTGTACAAAATGAGTTGAAAATTTGTTAAATTAACAACTCCCAATTTTCAAACGTAAAATTTAATACGTCCTTCATTCACCTAATATCCTCTAAATCAATTCCGTCCACATTGGTCACGTGTATGTGAATAGGATTTTCAATATTATCATTTTTCTCGTCATCTTCGTCTTCAATACACCCATTGCTGTCACTGGCTGTGGCACCATTTGAAGTAGATCCTAATACATAAATGATTATGAGCAAAATTGAAATCAAAATTCATTTAAGTGTGCACAAATTACCATGAATGCGTTCATCTTCCGCTTGAAAAGGCGCTAAACTTGGATCCTGACGTATCTTTAATGGCAAACTGCGCCATACCTGTAGAGTAGCTTCGTTAATGTCATCGGGCGATATTAGTGTCAATAGTGATCTTCGTCGTTGAACTGACTTTGCCTGATAACTTTTATTTGTCGATGAGTTTTTCCGATGCGGTGATTGCAGCCGTTTTGATTTACCCATTTTACACCAAACTAACAGATAAAGGAGAACACACAAAAAAAACGTTATACTTTTATAGCATCCATAAAAAAAATAACGGAACCATTAAATCGCGAGAATAAACAAGTAATTTTTTATTTTATGGAATATTTTTCCAAGCGAATGCTCATTGCTTACACCACATTGTGAATATAATGTAAACAACGACAGAGAGAAAAGCGATTTGTTTTGTGTGAAAGGTTACAGCGATAATTGTGTCGTTGCAAAAGTGAATTCAATTTATTTCGTTGTACATTGTTTTTCGAGAACATAGAATGTATTATGTAATTGCATACTTTAAACCATATAAACAAAGAAAAAAAACATACCCTTGAATTATTAAGTGGCAATATACTGTGAAATGTGTGCAACTGCACTGGAATGATTTTAATGATTTTGAAATTCCGAGATTTTTATCGATTTATCAATGTTTTAAGTGATGCATTATTCATACACGATTTGTTTGTTCGGCTAATCGGTGCACATTGTGGAACACAACAATTTCCATATCGCACAAATATGAACACAAAGTCACACTCACACACTGTCTGCCTATGAATGACGTAAAAATATTTTCTTTTTCGTTAAAATTTTCTCCGTTGACTTTCTTATTTGACTTGAAGTGTCTAGAAATATGTGCAAAAATCACCAACAGTACTTTTTTTGCCGCAATCGGCCACTCTTTCTGTTTCACGTAAAAATGTTGAATGAATAAATTTTGCGTGCTGCAATGTGATTTGTTTTGAATTGCTTCAGTAAGTGTGTGTCTTTTGCCAAACAACGCAAATGATAAACTAAACACACAACTGGTTTTGTATTTTTGTTAAACCAAACGAAACGACTAACGGCTATCGCGCTCACTGCGCTATCACTGTATGGGTGTTTGATGTGTGCGATGGAATATTCTGTATGCAACAATCATTTACTTTGTGTATATATGTATATAGTTCAAACGGCGAACCGGAGAATATACAACGCAGTGATAAGATGTGATGGGAATTCAATTTTATTTTTGCACACACCAGCACACGCACTCAAGAAGGGGCAAAAATATGTTGCTACAATGCGAATGATATGAGATTGAAATAAATAAAAAAAAAAAGTATCATGGAAAAGACTGGAAAAGATAACACCAGCTGGAAAGTAAATGGAAAGTAGATAAGAGTGGATCTGGGGCTGTTACGTTAACTGCTTGAATACAAAATGGGAAATAAGATACCTACAACTACCCAGTCATTTAACTGAAATAAATATAGTGAGCGGTATGAGTTACACGGCGGCACACTACGGTGATTTACAATGATTTACAAATGAAGTAGCCATACGAGCGTATATCTACCAAAAGATAATTTGTTTTATCCTTATTCTTTGTTCTGTTTCAAGTGCTCAGTAAGGTCAATTCGGTCATTTTGTTGAGGCCTATATGTGGGCGCTATTACTAGCCTCAATACAAATTTTGAATATTTTTCCATTTATATTCTTTAATGATATTCTACTGAGTCATTAGGTGATGTAATTTTGTAAATGATGAACACTATTTGAATATAAAGTATGTTGGTATCAAGGTGATTGAGTTGTTATATTTATGTTTATTTTAAATGGCTTTCCCGAAAGAAAAAAAAAACGAGAAAAAAAATGAAGATAATTGATGAATCTGGTATTACCACCACCACCACACATGACACATCATCATATTGCTGTCGCATGCACAATGTGTCTGCAAAACATGTTCGATGCAACTAATTAATATTCAAAGTGATAATCAGTCGGATCGCAATGCGAATTGAATTAAACAATCAGCATTAATCTGGATACAACTGGTTCACTTATTACTGTGTTACAGCATCAGGTGAATGGCGCATTGCATCTGATATTTACGTTACATTTTATCAATCTTTATTAAAAAAATGAACATCGAAGCTACTCCACAAAGTCAATTTGTGTATGGATATTGAATATTTCATATTGCTATTTATTCTCTCTCTTTGTTTCACAATTGTTTACATTTGTATCAAAGCAATATAAAGTGTATATTTGTGTCGCGACAATTCAATTGACACTTTCATTAACATCAAACAAAACACTATTTGAACGTATTTGGATGGCAAATATTTACGTACGGTGTACATAAAAATTATGTTTTCATTTTTGGTGTTTATATTTCATGACACTGGTCTTATGAAAATTACCTGATATTATAAGTGCCTATTTTTTTTTGTCGCAGAGTACGATTTTAGTGTACGAACGCCAATGACTGACTGCAAATTATACATACAAGTTTTAGTTCGTACCAAAATACCAAGCATTTATCAGCTTAGATTAAATCAGCCGCTCATTATTGAGACTATTATTTATATTTTATTGTATTGAAACAAGGCTCTGATAAGATTATTGTTATCATTATTGCAAGTCCATCAAATGTGCCATACTACTTTTTTAAATTGTAAATTTAAAAAGAAATCGAAAAAAAAGCATCGACTTTTTATAATTGATTGAACTAGAATCAGGTCAAATCTATTGATGACATGACTTTTTTCTACTTTACAGAATGTAATGGAGAGTATTCGGGCAAACAATGTCAACTTATGTGTGAAGCCTCGGCTAACTACCTCAATAGGAAATCACATTTTCTAAATTTGATTTGATTTTTTATGTATTTCTCGCGCAAAATTTTAAAGATTCTAGCACATTTGAATGACCAACTCCACTAGATGAGGATTTGTCAATTTGACTTCTTCCGATCACGATGGTTGGATTATATAGCATATCGCGCATACTAAAACGGCAATCATTTACTGATTTGTTCTTTTTATTAATGTAGAATTTTAGTGTTTCGATTTTTTATCAATTTGTAAAGTATCTTCGTTCTCAGTAATTCACGCGTTTTGATGTAGCGAACGTGAGACGTGATACGCTTTCCTTTTAGGATCGTACAATAATCATTTATGCACCAAAGAAAGTCTTAAATGTAGCTAAACGAAAACAAATCATCTTAAATGTTATTGCAATAAAATGAAAAATCGTTCAATCTCCGGTAATTTATCGCAATATTCTATAGTTCATTGACATATTTTATTACAACATATACGCTGGAAAGGCCTCGAAATGAAATTGCATTCGGCAAATCGATGGGCACGTACTGTGTTGTATAGTGAATTTAATTCGAATGCAGGTCATTATAATTGTTTATGTGATAAAGTAACGCCTTTAAAATTGCTGTGTTCTCGCGGTATTCATTGAGATTTGCATTCACAACAGATTTATCTAGAATTTATCATATTTCCCTAATGCATTCGCAAGTCGATCGCGTCGATAAGAAATTGCTTATGCAAGCAAAGCAAGCGTGAACATGGACCATTATGAAATGAAACAAATTCTATTTTCTAAAGTCGATTTTCATCTCTTTTTATTACATGGCTGAATTTGAATTTGTAAATTACACATTTCTGGATTTTCAAGTTACAAATGTGTCGGTGTGTGGGTGTGTGGGATTCAATAGTGCTTTTCATTTTGAAAAGTTGACTTTGAAAATAGTACGGCAATATCTATGCCGAATAAATGAATATCAAATGATGTGTTTGTGGAGAGAAATTTATGTGAGCTTCTTTAGCATATAGAATATTTTGTTTGCACATTTAAGCATCCATTTTTTTGGCGGAAAATATAAAAGGCATTTCTTGGAATTTTATTTGCAGCCGTTCATAAATTGAATTGATTGCGAAGGTTTTTTTTTCAATAATTCAATCTCTTTTATATCCTCAGGTACTCCATATAATCTATTTCATGTAATACACTCGAAAAGAAGCAATTTATGTAGTGAGAATTTGGCGGCGGCAATGTGGGAACATGAATGTTGTTTATGATATTTTCATGCAAATAAATTGCATACAAAGTGTGATGGAAAATCTTTTTATAAAAAATTGTCACCATTTTAATGAATCGATCATCTAATTTTCCACAAATATTGCACGACCCAGAAAGAGTGTGGCCATAAAATGGCAAAGCAAATGGTAAAATAATGCGATATAACAAAACATTAAATATACAAAAGACCTAGTTTATGTTAAATGAAAATATTACTATCACAACTTCTTTCTATTTCTGCCAAATTAATAGCATTCAAATATTTATTTACGCCAAATTAGAACTGAGTTGTTTGGTCGAAATGAATGGGTACGTGTATGGTTCGAGTTTCGTTTTGTTGACAAAGATTAAAAGTAAAAATTGAATTGTAAATAAATATTTAGCGCAACAATTGTCAATGTAATATGGTACACGCGCCTATTGTTGTCGGCAAACGAGTTGCCGAGTATGTTTGTAATTTCTCCTCATTTGAAGCGTATTTATCAGTCGTTTAAGTCGATGGATGGTCTCTTTCTTTTCTTCTTCTTCTTTAACGCCAATGTAAATATGGCAAAAAGCCATTCAAAACAAATTTGAGTGCCGATGTCGCGTACAAACCACACACAAACCGTATCGGTCGTCCTCTTTGTGTTACAATTTCCCATTCATTGCCGGCGAAAACAAAACAAAACGCTTGTAAGCACACTCGAAGAAGCACACCCGCCATATACCATGATCGTATGCTTGCGATCATAAATAATCTTTTAGTGCATTAAATATCACCGCATACGAGAAAGGTAATATATTATTTTGCATTTGCACGTGTGTTATGCCGAACAAATAGACTTAAGTGCGGTAAATAAATTTTGTTTTACCGTTATTTTTCCGTATTGATTTTTGGCATTCGATCTTTCTATATAAAGAATGAAAACCAAGACCAAACATTCGCAGTTTGTGGTGAGCCGGTTTTGAAGCAACAGCTTCATGGTGATTATTTTGTCTATATTTGTCGAGTGATCAAATTATTTTGTTAAAATTCAATATGATTTATGTTAAAACACTTTTTGCTTGTGCTTTGCTCATTTCAATTGTGACCGCTCAAATTCCCAATTTTGGACGATGTCCTGATTATGGTAAGATCGAATAATTGAGTGGGTTTTATGTAAAAAGTCGGAAAATTTTATGTCAAATTTTTTCCTTTTTTATGTCATTTTTCGAAATTGTTTATTCCATTTTTTGGGTTTTTCATACTTTTTTCGGTTTTTTTTTGAAGAATTTCATTTTTTCCGTAGAATGAGAATATATGACGAAAAAAATATGAAAAATAGTATGGGCGTCTCCACCAAAACGGTTTTTAGTAGAAAATTTGTAGTTTATTTCTGAAATAATATTTCACACTGTGCTCAATCTGTTTTCGACTATAATTATAGTTTGACTTTTATTAATTTTAAAAATGTCATTTGATTTAGTTGTTTTCCTTTTTCTAATGTTTGTATATTTCAGATGTTATGAGAGAATTCGATCATGAAAATTTCTGGGGAAAATGGTATGAAATTGAGCGTTACTTTGCCGTATCAGAATTGGCATCCCGATGTGTCTCGGTCACATATGAACGACGTGCTGATGGAAAAATCTACGTGAACAACGAAATGACAAATCGATTGTAAGAGTTTATTTTCAAGCTGTCCATGACGCGATGTATTGATACTATTTTTTTAAAATTTCAGCACAAATGTTCAGCGAATTGTCTCTGGTGTATTGAATCAAACGGCAAAAGATGATGAAGCAACATTTACCGTAAGATACACTGGCCTTCCGGTTAATTATGATACCACGCTTCATGTTTTAGACACTGATTACGATTCATATGCTGTAGTATGGTCTTGTAACTCCTTGGCGGGTCCTGTTGGTCACACTGGTTTGTATAACATATTCATTTTATTCAACATTTTTTTTTGTTTCAATTTAATAAAATTCTTTTGGTTCATTTGAAGAATCTGTGTGGATTTTGGCTAGGGAGCGAATCCCAGATGGGCCTGTAATTCAAACAGCATACGGTGTATTGGATAAATTCAAAATATCGAGAACATTCTTCGTGAAAACCGATCAAACCAATTGCGAAGTCGAAGGTAATTCAATCAAAGTGACCACTATAACAATCTAATTTATCATCGAACCAATTGCAGGCGATCCGGATGAAGCAGTCGATGGGCCAGATTCTGGATATGATATTGTTGTTGATGATGATACAGTCGGTACGGAATTGGTGAACAATCAATACGGTCACGACAATCCCCAAATCCATCAAGTGCAACATATTGCACATGTTCAGAATTTACAGCAATTCGCACCAGCATTCCCCGTTCAACCTGTCTATCATCCAAATGTTCATAATCACGGTCAACCTATTTATTTCAAACAAAATGACCAACCAGCCGAAAAAGCAGCACTGAGTTCAACTGAAACGGCGGATAAAGCAACACAAAATAAAACAAGCGACAATCAAATTGAACAAGCGAAGGAAATGCAGAAAAATGAAAGCACCGAAAAATCACAGAAAATAGAAACAACGAAATTACCATCGCCCATGAATGAGGTTCTTGCTGTTAATGCAACAGCGAAAAAATTGAAATAAACAAAGCAAAATAATAAAATTATTGAAAAAAATACGTTAATAATCATACATTTAATTTGATTTGCCAAGTGTTACAAGCATACACACATTATATTTATTTATTTATTTTCAATACATTTTGTAAACGTAAAAAAGCGACTAATAAATAACCAATCAAGAAACCTTTTTTTTTTTGAAATTGTCAAAGTTTTTTCTTCAAATGAATTGAATATTTCACCAAAATGTAGAATGTAAATGTGAGGTTATGTACAATCTTATAGCGCACAAACTTCACAGCATATTGAATTGACATGTTGAATCTGTCGGTCTGTGTGGTTGTGTGCAATGACAGTGACAGTGTTTATAAAGCAGCGTGGAATTCTGTTAGTTACGAAAATATATTAAGTTTTATGCGTTTTTTGATCAAACATAAATAAGAAAATGGCTGATATTGATGAGCTCTTTGGTGGTTTCGATGAACCGATTGGATTTGACGAAGGTGAGGCTGCGAATCCCATTGTTGTTGACGAAAAAAACAATGAAGAACAACAAAATGAGTAAGTGAGAATGGTGCAAAAAAAAAAAACGTGCCATAAAATGAGTGCCCATTAAATTTTTCGTTGATTTTCAGAAGTTCCCTATCCAAACCGGACAAACGACCATTGGAAGATGAAACAGAGCGAAATGAAGATGAAGATAAGCGAAAAAAACCACGAACCGACAATGGAAATGATTCAAAAGTGACCGAATCAATTTTGGACGACATTCGATTAGAAGAGATTGAGTCACGCATTACAGTTCATGTCATTGAATCGCCCGAATCGTGTACACATGAAGTTGCAGTTTATCCAGGTATTTTGTTGTCTTGCACATACATTCGATTGAATTGAAAGTAAAAAAAGTGTTCTTTATTTCGTATTAGGACAACCGTACGAACCATTGGCACCGGTAACTGGGCCACCAGCCAAAGAATATTCATTTGTCCTGGATCCATTTCAAAAGGAAGCAATACAATGCATCGAAAATGAACAATCGGTGCTGGTGTCAGCTCATACATCGGCCGGTAAAACTGTTGTAGCCGAATACGCCATTGCCCGATCATTAAATAACAAACAACGTGTCATTTATACAACGCCAATTAAAGCATTGTCAAATCAAAAGTACCGTGAATTTAGTGAAGAATTCAAAGACGTTGGTCTAGTCACCGGTGATGCGACGATCAATCCGACAGCTTCATGTTTGATTATGACAACGGAAATTTTACGAAACATGTTGTATCGCGGTTCTGAAATTATGCGAGAAGTTGGTTGGGTGATTTTCGATGAGATCCATTATATGCGTGACAAAGAACGTGGTGTTGTATGGGAAGAAACATTGATTTTACTGCCTGATAATGTGCATTACGTTTTCTTATCGGCAACCATTCCGAATGCTCGCCAATTTTGTGAATGGATCACCTATGTTCATAAGCAAAACTGTCATGTTGTCTACACTGATTATCGGCCAACACCATTGCAACATTACTTATTTCCGGCTGGCGGCGACGGCATTCATCTGGTGGTTGATGAAAAGGGTCAATTCAAAGAGGACAATTTCAATGCAGCCATGAATGTTTTGGCCACCGTCGGTGAAGCATCAAAAGGCGATCAAAAGGGACGTAAGGGCGGTTTTAAAGGTACCAATAAAGGTGAATCGAACATCTATAAAATTGTAAAAATGATTATGGAACGAAATATGGCACCGGCCATCGTATTTTCATTCAGTAAAAAAGAATGTGAGGTATATGCAATGCAAATGGCCAAATTAGATTTTAATTCACTCGAAGAGAAGAAATTAGTCGATGAAGTTTTTAACAATGCCATGGATGTACTATCGGAAGAAGATCGTCGATTGCCACAAGTTGAGAATGTATTGCCGCTATTACGACGTGGTATTGGTATTCATCATGGTGGATTATTGCCGATTCTAAAGGAAACAATTGAAATTCTATTCGGCGAAGGTTTACTCAAAACACTGTTTGCAACCGAAACATTTGCCATGGGATTAAATATGCCGGCTAGAACAGTTTTGTTTACGAGCGCCCGAAAATTTGATGGGAAAGAAATGCGATGGATTACATCTGGGGAATACATACAAATGTCAGGTCGTGCCGGGCGACGTGGTCTCGATGACAAAGGTATTGTCATTTTAATGATCGATGAAAAAGTGTCAAAAGTTACTGGCAAAGAAATTGTTCAGGGCAAACCGGATCCCATTAATTCAGCGTTTCATTTGACCTACAACATGGTCTTGAATTTGCTTCGTGTCGAAGAAATCAATCCAGAGTACATGATGGAACGAAGCTTTTTCCAATTTCAAAATCAATCATCGATACCGGATTTGTATCGACGCGTCGAAAAGAAACAAAAAGAAGTCGATTCGCTAACTATTCCAATGGAATCAAGTATCGCCACATACTATCACATTCGAGATCAATTGGATAAATTGGGCAGAGAGTTCAGATCGTATCTAACGAAACCGGTTTATTTAACACCGTTCTTGCAACCGGGCCGAATGATAAAAGTACAAAAAGAAAGTGGCGACGAATTCGATTGGGGAATCATTGTCAATTTCCGTAAACAACAAAGCGACGAAAAAAATCCAGCCAAATCGGAGACAGTAACAATTGTTGATATTTTACTTCATGTTGATGACGATTATGAGAAAACAAATACGGCCAAACCATGCCCGGCGAATAAACAAGGTTCCGTTGAGGTTGTACCCGTGTTGCATACATTAATATCACGAATCAGTTCGCTGCGTGTCTACTATCCAAAAGATTTGCGACCGGCAGAAAATCGGCGCTCTGTTTTGAAAACGGTGAATGAAGTGAAAAAGCGTTTTCCAAAGGGTCCACCGCTGCTAAATCCAATCAACGACATGAATATCAAAGATTCAGATTTTAAGCGTGTTGTTGAAACCATTGATAAATTCGAAAAACAATTGTACAGTCATCCATTGCATGAATCGCCGCAATTGAGTGACCTTTATGCTGAATATTCGAAGAAAATTCAACTATTGGCCGAATTAAAAGGCGAAAAAGACGCACTACGCAAAGCAAAAAGCCTCTTACAAATGGATGAACTCAAGCATCGCAAACGAGTTTTACGACGGCTTGGATATTGTACACAGGCCGATGTGATTGAATTCAAAGGGCGAGTAGCCTGTGAACTCAGTTCGGCGGACGAATTGCTCATCACCGAGATGATTTTCAATGGTGTCTTTAATAATTTGAGCATTGAACAGAGCGTTGCATTATTGTCGACTTTTGTGTGTGACGAACGAAGTAATGAAGCGCCAAAAACAGCCGAAGAACTTTCTGGCCCACTTCGTCAAATGCAAGATTTGGCACGACGCATCGCAAAAATATCGATTGAATGCAAACTTGAAATGGATGAAGAAAACTATGTGGAACGTTTCAAACCATTTTTGATGGATGTCGTTTTGGCTTGGTGCAAGGGTGCCTCATTTAAAGCAATTGTTGGTATGACAGACATTTTTGAAGGTTCAATTATTCGGTGTATGCGACGATTGGAAGAATTATTGCGACAAATGTGTCAAGCTGCCAAGACGATTGGTAATACAGAACTAGAAAATAAATTCTCCGAAGGAATTCGACTGCTCAAACGAGACATCGTATTTGCCGCCTCATTGTATCTTTAATTTAAAATCCAAATAAGAATTGATTTATTCGAAATATCGTTTCTTAAATTTTCAGTCTAAAGAAATTAAAATAAAATTTGTAAAACTAACTTTTTGTTTTTATTTTATTTAATTGATGACCTAAGGATGAATCTTTATGTTCACGACGATTATTAGGGATAATATGGCCAAACCATGTCCAAATAAGCGAGAATCGCTTGAGGGTGCACCAGTCGTGCATAAGTTAATAGGTGAATCACCGGCTGAAAATCGGCGGTTTATATAAAACAAAACAAAACATGCTTTTCATGACGTTTATTGGGGTAACGTTGTGATTTAATTACACAAATACATTTTGATAATATTATTTGCCGTTCCAAAGACAAGATTATATTGTTTGTAGTAAAATATGCACGATCTTTTTTTAAACACAAATTTATGCAATTCAAATTTTGCAAATCATACAAACAATTTAATCTTACCTTATATATACAATACTTTTCTTCGTTCTTATTGTAATAATATATATCACGAAACTGATATCGCTTCTCATTCCTTACAACGTTAATTTCAATAAATTTCGCTTTGTAAGCTGTTGTCACTTTTCGGTGAATAATCGGTCCTTTCTGTTGTTGTATTTGTTGTTGATTTCGGAGCATTTGTTCTTCATGTTGTTCACAGACAACCCACATTTTATAAAATCATTGTGTCAATTCTATCTAACTTGATCCATCATTTCAACTCATCTTGTTTGTTTATTTTCTTATATATCTTAAAAACATAATTCATCTTTTCATTTTCCTAATTTAAAAAAAGTACAATTATCACAAGAAATTATTAAATTATTAGTAAACATTCAAGCATATGCGTGGATAAGTGAATATATTTACTGTTATTATAATTATTATTATTAATATTATTCATATTATTATTTTCTCAATGATTTTTTTCGCGATTAGATGTTATTGTTCATGAATTGGCCCAACAGCTGCTTGTGAGTCACATAACCTAATTTTGATGTGGCAAAAAGGAAAGTAGCAAAGAAAATAAAATGATTAGATATGCTTGAATTGATAATTTGATTGGATGCAAATGTATTTACCTGATATGCCTTGTATGTCAGTTGTTATGATCGGAGTTTTGACTTTCATCTCTTCGGTGTGTGCTGGTGCCGATTGTTGTTCAGTCGATTGTCTCGCATTGACCGCACTCCACGGTGTATATCCAGACGATGCAACCGGCTATAATTATTTAATAATTCAATGTTAATAAACATTATTAAACCATACAATGAATGACATAAATTAAAAACAATACCTTTCCACTGATGGCCTCGTGTTTAACATAACCATTCGATGTGAGTTGCGATGGCTTTGACGCGTTTAATGGCGAGACTATCTTCCTTGGAGCGAAATGATTATCATGAGAATCGGACATATGGTGATTTTCAAGTGTGGTTGACATTTGTAATAATGGCGATGGAAATGATGGATTTTGAATAATTCCAATTTCATGGCTTTGATGTACTGGAATTAGTGGCGTTGGCAGAGACTACATCAAAATATGAAAAGAAAACCAAACCATTTAATATAAAAAATTGCTTATTCGATATCGATCAATTGTAAAGTAAAAAAAATAAAAATTGACTTTGCTCACCATTTTATTAATATTGTTCATGTGCTGATTGTCTGAACCGCTGTCATTTTCGATATTTTGTTCATATTCAAGGGAATGATCTATAACGTCATTATTTTCGGAATGGCTGTTGCTTTCGCTGCTACTGGTGCTTGCCGATTCCATACGAGACCGAACCAATGGATCATTTTCATGTTCATTTGTCACATAATCAATGGTTCGTCCCAATTCTTCACGTGTAATGCCACCAGAACCTTCCAAATGTTTGGATTTGCTTTCCTCTTTGATATCTTCCAAACCTTCCGGTAGCTCGACGCTAATGTCTTTCATTCGTTTCAATTTTTTCATTGCAAAAAATGTACCATACACAAAGGCCATGGTAATTATAAACAAAAATACAAGCATAAAGTAGTAGCCGCTTGATTTTGAATTCATATTAAATTGCAATGTGTATGATACCGAAAATGGTCCATGGAATAATGTTGGCCATTTGTCAAATAATTGTAGATCGTTCTCTTCTTCGCAAATTTTAATTCGATTTAAATCCACATTGAATACATCATTATGATTCTTATAAGTGCCGTCATTTGTTTCAAATTCATTTTCAATTGATTTGTGGACCTTTTCAATTTTTACATTCGAATTATGATTGAATATGTGATTTCCATATTCGGTGTCAATTTCTGGATTTGAATGTCGTTTCAATAAATAACTTTGATCCTTCGAACGATCGGATTCAACGTCAATATATGTTTGTGCAATATCACGTCGGTTTCGTTGATTAATTGGACCTTTATAATGTGATGAATGCAATACATTCACAGCACGAACCGAAAAATCTAATTTACCAACCAAAATATTTCGAATGTCATCGGTAAATTTACATTTGGTGCCATTTATTTTAATTACTCGCTCCTGTCGATCGTTATTCGTATAAACTACTTGCAGTTCATAATAATCCAAACGTCCACCTTTCACCGCTGGCGCTTCCCAACGCAATTCATTATTTATCACTTTTGGCTGATGAATGATTCCCGGTCGACCGATTGTTGTATTGAACGTGATGGCATTACTTGGATCCGAACAATGCGTGGTACATGCATTAACTACCACCTCATATTCGGTGAAACTATCTAAATCGGTTAATAAATATGGTTGTTGTGTTCCATCATTCTTGTTAACCGTGAATTTTTTACCATTACATGAAACTGTATAGCGATTTATAACACCATTCAATACCTCTGGTTGTTCCCATGTCAATTCAACGGATGAATTTGTGATATTACGTGCACGTAAATTTCGTGGTGGTGTTGGTGCTGCTTCAAGTGTGGTATTTACTTGTGGTTCACTCCATGGACCTTTTGAAGATTCAGATAACATTTGAATGCGTACACTGTACGTTGTGTACGGTTGCAATTTTTCCAATTTGTATTCTTTTGCTTCAGCCGTAATGTTGACCGTTTTTGCCGCTTCTCGGCATTCACCGGTTTTTGGATCTTTTATTGGGCAATATTCCAAAATGTAACCGGTCAAAATGGTTCGATCGATACAAGCAAGGTTCCATTTGAATTCGATTGATGTGGCCAACACTTTAACCGTTATAATTGAAGTTAATTTATTAATTTCATTGCCCGGTAAAACGGTGCACATTGCCCATATCATGCCTGAACTTGATGTATTCGAATTGGCCGAGATGGCAAAGTTCATTGAATTATTCGTTTCGAGACGATAACTCAATACATCACTGCCAATTCGTTCGAAATCAATTGAACCTTTGCAATCATTTGGCGATTCATTGTTCGGTTCACACCAGAATATCGTGTAGCTGGTTATATTTGGACCATCAATCGGTGCCATCCACGAAATATTATACGTTTGAGCATCCAATCGAATTTTTTTGATCAGCGTCGGCGGTTTGCATCGATCTTGTACAGGTGGTACGTATACGCTACTGTACATTTTTGAACGGCCCACATTGTTTTTACTATGAATATGGAAATTTAATGGTTTTTTCATACCATTTGCATCGAGATGCTCAAGTTTGGCCAACGAACGAGTTGATACATATGTCGTATTATTTGCATCAATTATAATATATTTCAAATTCGGACCGTTGTGTTCCGATTCCGATAGTTCTTTCCAATAAACGAACACATGACCGCTGGCCGTTAAACTAAATGAACCGATGTCGGTGAGTGGCGGTTTATCCGGAATTCGTGATTCCGTTTTAAATATATGACCAATATGAGAATTTGACCACATTTCCGGTATGTCTTCAGCATCGTCGACTTTAAATGATATACGATAATCGTACCATGTATCGGCATATGGTAAATTGGTTAATGCATGTGACATATGAATATTGTGCTCTTCGCGTTCATTTTTACGTGGTTCTTTAAACGGCCCCAATTCAATCCATTGATCTTTCTGATACTCGTTTGTATAATTGATTCTATATACAAATTCTAAATTTTTTAAACCAAAAAAATAAAAAAATAAACAGAAATGAAAAATTAAACACTTTTCAATGATTATGTGTAATAAATACATACGTTTTGGAAAGTTCTGTAATAGCGCTGGTAATTTCCAATTCAAAATTACAGAATTTGATGTAATATTTGTTTCACTTAAGTTTTCCGGTGGATTCGGTACCACTGTAAAAAAATAGAACAAAAAAACATATCGAAATTTATGATTAAATGACACTCATTGTAAATGGGCACATAGTCTACGACTGTGCGATAATTTTGGTGATTGTATTATCGTATTTGGAATTTTTTATTCTTCCTCTTTGGAATTTATTTATAAAAATGTACTTACGCATGTTGTAGTGATAAATTGTAAAATCTTCGGTGAAATTTCCAATGCGATTTACTCCGATCAGTCGAAAATAGTAATAGTCATAGGATTGACGATAGGGCGGCTCATTTTCAAATGTAATTGCACATGTAAATTGTCGATGATAGTTTATACCTAAACGGCACGAATGTGTCTGCGAATTTATAGAGAAAACAGTGTTTATCAGTAACAGAAAAATTACATTAAAAAAATGTCAAATTTTTAACTCTATTTTTTCAAATTATTCTGAATATTTTATACGAACCGGTGTCTGAAAAGTGGGCTTGCCAGTTTCAATTCCAATACCATAGTATAGAGTGTAGTCTACGGGCACTGGATTGTATGGTTTTTCAAAGCTGCACGTTAAATTTTCCCAATTGTATGATCTACATTTGAAATCAATGACTTTTTCTGGTGCCGTGCCTATTTATAGGATTTCACATCAAAAGAAAATTCAATAAAAATCATATTTCATCATTAATTTTCCAATAAAAAGAAAAAATTCAATTTTTTTTATAGTAATTCAATCGAATACTCACCAACATTAATTGTCACTCGATTAATGCCTGAAAGACCCGCCAGACAATCAACGTATGCTTCCATTATCGGTGCATTATTAATTCGAAACATTTTTGTATTATGGCCCAATGTCTAGAAAAAAAACGGATTACATTTTAAATGAATGAATTTACCGAAAATTGAATGATCAATTCATCTTACGATAATTTCATGCCGGACACCTGGTTTATCGAAAATAAATTTCAAATCATCAATCGTATGATTGGATGAGGTTAACGTACAATTAATTTCAATAGTTTCGCCTTCTCTTCGTACGATATTGCCCACTGGGAACATATCTGTTAATTGAAAAAAAAAAAAAAAAATGATTGACATTTTGAAAATGAAATTCACTTTGTGTATCGCACAGATTTGCTAATGATGGACTGCACACAATAATAATTTAAAAAAAATGTTTGCTTTTTACTTACAACCCAATGAAGCGACTGCATTAATTTCAAATAAAATTGAAAATAGCAGCCCCCAAAAGTATTTTGCCATCATTTTGTCGGATGGAGAATCTGAAATGAAAATTAAGTAAAAAACACGAATAAATATAAATTTCGAAACACAATATTTCAAATAGAAAATAACTGAATTGCGAATAACACGAGTTTTGATACCGAAAAGAGTTTGGAATTTAATTCGATTCGTTGCAGTGAAAATGAACAATTTATGTTTGAGATTTGAATATGTGCTTTCAGAATGTACGTCCTTCTCGAGCAACGCACCAAATAGAATTAACCATTGTTCGAGCTTGTGATTTAAGATCAAGCTTTCTGTTTCTGTATCGTGAAGTAATACAACAGAAGAGCGAGTTATTGAATTTCTCTGGAATTGAATAAGTAAGACTTAAAAAATGCTAACGCTAACACAATACATAATATTTGATTTGAGTCTAGGCGACTTCAGATTTTTCTCTTGGAAATTGTAATAAATAACATTCATTCGAAATCGGCACAAAAACGACTTGATGAAGATTTAACACTTTTTGAAGTTATTTTTGTTGTATTTTGTTCTTCCATTGAAGAAAAGATTCAAAACAGCTTGCACTTAGTAATGGGACGTTGTTATACTTACGTCAGTAATGTACGAAGGCGAGCGGTAGGGTATTTACCCGCTGTGATTTCGATCAGAAAATATTTTCAGGAAAATTATTCGAATTTTCTAGGGTTTTTGATTCAAACGATGAAGACCTCTCTTAGCTTATTAGTTTGTGAAATGATGAGAAATTCTTTTGAAAAATCAACCCGCTCTTGAAAAATTTTGTTCGCCCATTACGTCTATTATCTTGAAAATGCTTACGTGAAAATCAAATGAATGACAATCAAATAATTGTTCCGATTGATTTGTTTAACCGATGCCTTTGATTATCTTCATCAAAGAAACATAAATATATTGAAAGAAAAGTACTATTCTTTCAATAAATTTGCAATGCACATTCTTTAAAATCAGTGATATGAGATGTACTTTATTTTGCACTCAAATAAAGCGCGTAAGTTTAACTATGAGTGATCGCACACAATATGCGTCTATAACGTTTGTTTTCCGTTTTACGTCTGAGTGTGCGGTGTCGCATTCGGTTTGGTGTGTTTATGCAATGTGGACAAAAAGGGAATAATTTGCGCACTTACATGATGAAAAAACACGGTTCGCTTCGTGGCGACATAGTTTTCACGCGCAAGCGTTTGTTTTTCGTGTCTCTATATATTTTCAATGATTTCCCTCATTTTTATTCATTTGTTTGTTTGCCATTCCCGGCAATTTTAATTATCAATGCACCTGAAGCCTGAAGGAATATACATTCCCTGTTCACATTGTAAATGTTTGCTTTGACATTTTTTTCTTTTTTTTTTGGCATAATTTTATTTCTAGTGACGGAACCTAAGCAGTAGATATTTCTACAAGTCAAGGGAGAGCAAAATATAAAAAAGTTAAAAAAGTGGTTTTATCAATTTAACTTTTCACTGAGGTAGATTTCTACTCCTCAGTGCTCATTCTCACATAGATTACGCTGTATCTCTGTAGAATTGTTACCATTTGCAAATTTGAAATGATTTACGCTGACAAAATTTTATGGTTCTAAATAGATTTCCTTAAGAAGATGATAAAATTAGCACCCATCAAAAATGTGTTTTCTGGGTGTTTTTGGGGCCAGGGAACACGAATCTAGCGTTTTTTTGATGTCCGAATGTATGTGCGTACCCTGTACCCTGTACCCTATACGCAAAAATTTGTTAACACGATAACTTTCAACCAAGAAAAGTAATTCAGAATCTGACTTCACAGGATGATTGGGGGTGCCGAGGAATAGAAACCATTACATTTTGAGCGACTTTGGTTGATAGAATAAAGTGTCATGTCTGGTGTGATCCATGGGCATCCATGGGAAAAAATCAATTTTACTTCCAAAAGTCATACTTTATGTATACTTAAACACTCAAAAATATGTATTGGGGGGTTTTTGGGCACGAAAAAACCGAATCTGATAATAAAGTTTCTTAGAAAAGTTTATTAGCAGTCTTCGGTTAAAATTGAGTTGCACTTTTGAGCTTTGTGGTTATTTTCAATCTGAAGTACATTGATGGTCATTATTCACAGTGAAGCGCTTGGCTGTTTTTGTCACATCAATGAAATTTCCAACTACTTTATATTTTTATATAAGTGTGTGTGTGTGTATTAAAAGTTTGAAATTATTTCTTTTCGTATTGGAGGTGTGTTTGACGCGCCCTTTTTTTCATGATGCATATACATTTTATGAAATGGACATTTGCTAACGAAATCGTTTGCAACTTGTTCAGAGTTATTATCGCATATTGTATTATTTATTCGTAAGTACAACTTACGACTGCAATTTGTAATTGTTTGATAATAATCATCCTGCAGGCGCATTTCGATTGCATTTAAAATGCGCTCATGAATATTTTATCGATATAAAGTCGAAGAGAGGTGAGAGAGAAAAAAAGAAACACGCGGCAATATTGTTATTAGTTTGATTATTGTGGATGTGCTATTGCATGCTTTAGATTAAGAAAAATGAGTCTAATTTATTCACAGATGTAAGAAGATTTGAAAGGGGTTGAAAATATTAAAAAGTTGACAAAGATATTTTGTAGCTTCACCATTGAAATAAATGACTTGATTTTTATGTTACATTGTATTTGATTGACAAGTGTCAATTGGCCCCAAAAGCGATTGTGAAAATAGTACTAAAATCGTTCACGGCAATGTCTTTGCATTCATACATGCTATAGACCGACAAAAGGCCAACACGTGAATCGATAACGACAAATCTCTTATACCGATAATGCATCGGAGCATTTTGATTCGGACAGGAAGCACAAACATTTTATTTACATAAAAATATACACATATTTACATTTTATGTGCACTATTCAACTACTTTGTGTAAATCGTAATTATACGCAATGTGTTGGTACACGTTATTTTCAAGGTTCCATTAGTGGCCAACGTATTTTTTAAATGGAGATTTTTGTGTTCGTTCATGCAACATTCTTGCGACTTGCGATCAACTCCGATGCCCACAGGCCCACATATTATTACAAATAAGCATTGAAGCGGTTAAATATGCGAACGCTTTGATATTAGAAGTTGCATGCAACAATTACAACTAAATCGCACCAACAAAATTATTCACTCCAAATGTATTTCGTTTGGTGTTGTGGTTAGCAATTGGTATTAATGTATATGGTCCGTTTGCGCTCCATTCATGAAACGCAATATTTTTTTATATGGTCAGAAAGTGGACAATTTTATATTATGTTTCCCTGCATTCCAACCTGCACTTATTTAAGTTTTTTTTTCGTATCCTTCTTGATTACAACCGTATTTGAAAGAAAAACAAAACCATTTTTGCTGGCGTATTTTTAATAGTTTTTCCAATTCTTGACTTCATTCTTTAACTCAATTTGTTTCATCAAAAAAGTAAATTTAATAAATACTTTTGGAAATTGAAAAGAATTACATTTTCAATTGCAGTATTGAATTTGAATGATTGGAGGAAAGAAGAGATAGAGATATGAAGAAATCACCAATAGTTGTTTTGTTTGCGTAACAGTTACTATTGAATAATTGATGCTGATACTGTTTCTGAATATATTTAATGCAACTCGGTTCCCTATATGATAATTTATGAAAATGTTGGCCCAAAGCGATCGCGCACATGCACGCAATACTTTGTTAGTATGCGGTTGAAAATTAAACATTGGTATAATTGTAACCTTTTTGTTCGCTTCTCTCTCTCTCTCACTCTCTTGTTTTCATCTTCTACGAATATTCAATGATTTTGAGAAATGATACGCGGCGCGTGCTCAACTCATTTTATTTCATCTCCGCCCCGCTTTTTTATATTCCGTTCCGCGACGTATCGTTTTTTTTTTTTTAATTTTCGGTGTGTATGTGTGCACTCGTTTTATCTCGAACTTCCTTTGATTTCGGGAATTCGATGAAAACGCAACATCCATGAAAACGTACATGCAATGGTTTTACTTAAGTCCATACAATTCGGTTCAAATGTTTCATTGCTTTTGTTGTTGTTGTTGAACAAAACAAAAATATTCGTTTATTTACAAAAAACCGAAACAATCAAATACTATTTACCTATGGAACGTGATTTTGTGGTTGCATTGAAACTAGCATTTTTGATTGTAGGCGGTATCAACACTAAATTCACTAGAATTTTGAGTCCTGTATTATTGTGTGCCGTCGCTCTTTAAACTTGATTCATTTGATTCAGATTTGCCATTCGGCTCATTACGCCTCTTAATTTGATCCGAACGGCAAACCAAACCATGTAAGTGCTGGTATTGGTATTGTAATCTTTTTGAAGCACATGAAAAGTCACATTTTTTGTAAATTTTAAATTTTAAATTTTCTCGGAACACCGCGTGTGTATAAATGATATGAGTTATCGAACTTGATTTCCGTTCTATATTATTTTTTTTTTCATTTTTCGAAAATTGGGAATCGAATTTCGGACAAAATGAACACAAGGAAATTCAATAACAGTTGAAATGTTATTGTTGAAATTGGTTAGATGAAAAATCGTCTGAGATGAAATTCCTTATACTAAGATTTACACTGTAGTGTGCAGTGTAATATAACATTTTTTAAAAACTTGTTTGCATCACATTTGGAAATTTTATGCTATTCTTCACTCAGTTGTTGATGTACACTTGATTTAATAGTCTAATGCACTTATATATGGCACAGCACATGACAATCGTGTCATAAAAAATTGCTTCGAAAACTCGTACGAGTTGACACATCATGAAGCGCATCCAAATTTTACGTACTTCAAAGCCGTTTTGAGTTTCAATATATACTTTTCTTTCTTATTTGTGAACTCATGTGTGTGCCAGAATATAAGCACATGCATCACAGAAGAATCACAAAGAAAAAGAGTCAGTGACAGAGATGTTTAACAAAGAAAACAATGTATAATTCAGTAGAACAGCAAAAAAATTAACGGCAAATACAGAAAAATGACACAAAATATATTCATCCAAATCCGTCAGTCTCGTTCGGTTTATACAAAATAGGGTTTTCGGATTTGGTTTCTCGCTGGGTGAGTCCACGATAAAATCCCAGAGAGAAACAGAATCCAACAGCCAATACAAAGAAAAAATATATTGAAGTTCATCACAGTATCACAGTATTTATATGTCTAATATTGGAAAATTATTGAGAAATATATTTATTCTATTTTCTTTAGAAATTGTTGCAATTATACTTCTGGACCAAAAATAAACAATATTTTTTTCATTGCGTATTGATTCAATTGTACTTATTGTGGGCATGAATGAAT